CTTTTTCTCAGGGATGCCTGGACCTCTACCTCTCAGCATTGGCCATTACCAGTTCACCCTTTCCCAGGTAGATATAGCCCTGAGAGCAAGGCCTAGAGGAGGCTACAGGTTTATGAAGAGCAGTGAGTGAGTTGGGGAGATGACTATAGGATCTCAGAGTTTCTGCTTTGTAAATTAAAAATTACATCTTTTCTCTCTTACTTTCGATACCCATTAGAAAGAAAGACTGCTTACCTTATACTTCGGATTTGCTATCAGAGGCCCTTCCCACTCCCCATCCATTGCCTCATTCCAGTCATCTGGCTTCTTGGCCTCTGGGTCTGAGATGAACTCAAAGTCCTCCCAATCCTAAAATGAAATTTGTCTCCATGAGGACAGATGTGTGGGGCTCAAGTGAAACTGGTATCCAGAGTGCAGTCAGGCTGGACCTGACTACTAACCCTGCCACCCTCCATCCCCACAGCATAAAGGCCTAGCCCAGGATTCTGCAAACAAACCCCATATAGTAGAGAAAATGCCTTTAAGCAATTTTGATCCCTCACTCTGAGTTTACCACCTTGAGTACTCTAACCCTGCCTCTTCCTTAATCATGTGCTTCGATTGTCATAACAGCTTGGGTTTATTTTCCTGGAGTCCTCACTTCATGCCTTGTACCCCAGGATGCTCCTAGATCTATATCAGTACTCCTTTGTACCCCAACCAAACCAAAACCAAACCCAATTCCAACTCACAATGACCCTTTAGGACAGAGTAGAACTGCCCCATAGGGTTTCTAAGGCTCTAAATCTTTACAGAAGCAAATTACCACATCTTTCTCTCATAGAGCGGCTGGTAGGCTTGAACCACAGGCTTCATTTGCAGTTAGCAGCCAAGCGCTTAACCACTGCACAAACCGGACTCCTATACCCTAGGTCCCTCCTATTTCCAAAGACAAAGTTCCAAGTCACAAACAGCCTACCCCAGCTTCCCTTTCTACTTTGGAGCTTCCAAGGCTTTGATCTGTCTACTTGGCAGTTCACCGTGGTGCTATTTTCCCAGACTGATTTAAGGCCTCCATGCTCAGGCCACCAGATTTGAATTCATTAGCTTCATCGTGACTGGGGCAATTTCCTGGTTTGTGGCTTAGGTCAGCTGCTTTGAGATTTCTGAGATAGTCAGCATCCTATCCCCAGGGCTATAGGCTTGCTAAAGACCCAGCATGCAGTCAATTTCCATCTTCCCAGGTCCATTCAGCAGGAGGCATAGAAGCCTGCAGACTCTCCCCTGTCCCCCAGGCTCCAAGCCAAACAGGAATACATCAGGTTTGTGGTCTTCACTGGGAGGAAGGTTGATGATTAGTCTTATGGCCCTGAGCCTGTCTGATATTCTTGGCAGGAACATAGCCTCCTACTTTCCCATGGAGCTAAAGGCCCAGACATTCCTGTTCATCATCTACCTTAATTCCCTGACTAAACTTCATTCTCCCTAGGAGTGGAGCCCTTTGCTGCATCTCTCTACACATGACTGGACCACTGCCTGCCTCTCTGCAACCCTTTCCCTAGGAGTTGGACTTCAGATTCTAGTTCTCATCCTGTCCCCTACCTAACCCCAAGCATCTCCACTACATGGAGCTGCCCCTGCTCTAACCAGTGAGTAACAATGTAGTACCTAATGTGAGATCCTTTGTCATCTGGCTCCAACAGTCCTCTCCAACCTCATCTTCCACCACTCCTCATCTTGAACTTTATGCTCCAAAATACTAAACTGCTGCCTTCAGTTCTTTAAAAAACGAAGTTATTTTTAATCTAATCATTGTACATTTGCTCCTGCTATTCTCTGGTTCAGAGCTCTGGTAGCATAGTGCCTAAGGCACTTGACTGCTAACCAGAAGGCTGGCAGTTCAAACCCACCAGTCACTCCTCAGAAGGAAGATGGGGCAATCTACTTCCATAGTGATACTGCCTCAGAAACCCAAGGTGGGGTCGCTATGAGTCGGGTCCGACTTGATGGCACGTAACAACAACAACAACAACAACAATAACATTCTCTGATTCTGAAATATATTCCCTCCACCCCAATTTCCCACTTACCTTGTTCCAATAAATTCATTGTTTGGATTTCAGTGTATTACTAATATATAAATGTTGCATATAGAAGACTTACTATGTACCAGGCATTGTATTACATATTTTATGTTAACGCATTCTGAGGCTGTATATATCTTTATGGGAGTAGATTGCTGCATATTCCTTTCGTGGAGCAGCTGGTAGGTTTAAACTGTAGACCTTCAGTTAGCACTCAAGTGCCTTATCCACTGTACCACCACAGCTAGTTAGTAAGTGATAGAGCTCAAATTCAAACCTACATCTGTCTGATCCCAGAGCCTATCACTCAAGTATTGCCTCCTCCTTCCCAGACAACTGTCAACACCCACACGCAAGCTACCTTAGGAGCCTCTCTTGGACTACCACGGGAGCTCTGGTAGCATACTGGCTAAGACACTTGCCTGCTAACCAGAGGGCTGGCGGTTCAAACCCACCAGCCACTCCTCGGAAGAAAGGTTGGGCAATCCTACTTCCGTAGTGATACTGCCTCGGAAGCCCAAGGAGGGGCCGCTATGAGTCGGGTTTGACTCTACGGCACATAACAACAACAACAACTTGGACCACCACAGGCTTTGGCTTCCCTGACTCTCATACTATATGTAACATAGTGTGATCACTGTCTGTTGATTTGTTTGCCTACACTAGATTCTAAGCCCTGGAGAGCAGAAATTGTTCTACTCGTAGCTATATCCAGTATGGCTTTCTCAGTAAGTGATAATGAATCAATGATTAGACTCCACATCTACCCCATATCAATAATTTTGGAGTCAAAGAAATCCAGGTTAGAATCTCAGTTCCAACATATGTATGCTTGGGCAAGTCATTTAAGTTTCTAAGCATCAGTTTCCTTATCCATAAAGAAGAGATCATAACACACTGCTCACAGGTTCTTCAGGAAGATAAATTTAAGTTCCTGGTACATAGATGATCCTCAACAAATGTGAGTTGCTGCCCCTTTCCCTCCATGAATTTTCAGGTGTCAGTATTTATCTGGGCATCTCTTTGAGGGATTGGTACCCCAGTTCCTACTCCACCTGAGATCCCTACTTGCTTCCCAGCCAAACACCCTCTGACCTCAGGTTTCTTATCTTCAGGATCCTCTATTTGCAGACGCTCATCCCATTTCCTTGGTTTCCGGGCATAGGGATCTTTTATCTTCTTTGGGGGCAAGAAGTCCCAGTCATCTTCCAGACCCCCCAGCTGCCACTTGCTGGTTATCAATTTTGACCTCATAAGTAGCATTGGGGCGAATAATCAGAGTGTATAGGTGAGTGTCTTTATTGATCTATGGAGAGAATGGGGGTGGGTGGCAGGAGATATCTCAATTCTGTGTTGTACATCTTTAGATCTCAAGCATTAAATTCATCCTGTAAAGCAAACTCTCAGTTCCCTGGATGCCACACCCACTTATTCACAAACATACTTCACCACATCCTTTGTCCTGCTTCTCTTGTTAACCCTACAGGCACTCTGGGGCTCATTCTCCTAATATACACTCAAAGGAGCCTTCCCTGATCCCTTACATTGGGTTGGGGGCCTCTTCTGGTCTCCTCAAGCTCTCTTTTCCCTCCATAACAGTTCTGATCATTTAGCAGGTAACTGCCAATTTGTCTGTCTGTCCCACTAGACTGTGGGTTCCTCAATGGCAGGAGTCATGTTTGATTCATCTCTTGTGTCTGCACCTCCCAGCATGAGACCCGTCCCAGAGTAGGGCCTCAAAGAGCCCCATAATGCACCCATTTACAGTTCTGCTAGGGAAAGCCTTAGGACTCCACACAGTCCTCCAGTGACTCAGCTCCTACTGGCTTCTCTAGGCTTACTTCCTGCCTCTCCCTTGCACTCTAGTTGTGCAAAACCTCTTGCAATGCCATTCTTTTTCTCATCTCCTTGAGTTTTCTCATGCTGTTATCTCTTCCAAGAATCTGCTCCTCCTGAGAACAATCATGGGGAGTAGAAGGGCTGTGTATGCACAGGGACATAGCTCAAGGGGTAGGAGTGCATGGAGGGAAGGACACATGGAAAAGGTAACTATGGGGAGGAAGTGGGAGGGGAGCTTTCGCATTGTGGTAAATTGTAGTCAATGTCATGAAACAAAGTGTATGTGAACTGCTGTATGGAAAGTGAATTTGCTCTGTAAACTTTCACCCAAATCACAATAAAATA